GTTCAAAACAAAAAACTGCGTAAACTTGATAAGAAACAGGAAAAGAGTAGACTACTGGGTGTGCCGTTTTTACCCAATGAATTTTGTGCTGTTAATAGGCGTTTATTGGTTGAAAGTAGTAGGTGCTTGGAAAGACCTCACAAGGTTAATATTCAAGATGGACAAGGAGACAGGAGCAAGTGTTTGGATTGAAATAAGCAATATTCAGAACGTTTATTGGCCGATCTCAAGATAGATAAACATTGGCTAGGTCGCTCCGGTGGAATGGAACGCACTGTAACGTGTTTCCATCGGTACTTTTCTCCTTGTCTGTCGACGAAACGAACAGTTTCTGGAGCAATGCGTAACTGGGATGGGTAGTGGTTAGTGGGTGGAATTGAAAGAGCAGAATCACTGGCACAGACTGGATTGGTTGCTGGGGTGGTGGTAGGTGGTTGCAGAGGAATAATTCTGTTCAAACACCTTCCATTCTGCCATTCTCTTAACGAGTCGATAAAATCGTTAAGAAAATCGATAATTTGCGCACCACGCCTTTGACCACCTACTTCTCTGCAATGTGTGGCACTGTTACATGATCACTGATTTGGAACACGGTAGCCGAGTGGTTCGTGATAAAGGCAGCTGTGCTGGAGGGCGCTTTGTGCGCACGAATAGTGGAAATGGTGTAATCTTTAAATTTAGGTCCATGTTTCCTCAACACCTACTCCGAAGCCGAGTTGACGGAGACTCGAGCCTGGGGTGACGACGTCAGCCTCGACTGCGAGAGTGTCGCCGTCGGAGGTCTCGCTGAGCGCATCGCGTACACGTGGATCTTCCATCCACACAGTTCCGCCGACTCGAGTCCACCAGCACCTCCGACACCGCCGCCTGACGCTCCAGAAGGCTACGCGGTCTACTTCAATCCGGACGCGCGCAAGAGGGCGTCGAGCGCTCTGAAGGAGGTCGGCGAGACGCCCGCCGACGTGGTGGCCCGCTTCACGGGATCGACCCTTCGCATCCGCCGGATCACGCTTGCCCACGCCGGCGAGTACCTGTGCTCGGTGAGCGTGGAGGCCAAGATCGGCGAAGTGCCCGGAGCTCTGACCATCGGGAAGCTGTCACGAGCTTTTCGACTGCGAGTTCAACGTAAGTTTGAATGGGAGGTCTTTAAAAACCCATGTGTTGTTCGCCACACACCCCGAACGATTCTTGTCAACCCAATTTACAGGTCGTTTTTGCTGTAGAATGTCAGAGAGGAAGGTGATTTGGTTTGGTAGCTGAGAAGCAAGTTCTTGAAAAAGCGTTGATTTTTTCTTTTCTCAACGAGGGGTAATAATGCAATCCCTCGCAATTACTTCGTTCCCACAAGTATCTCAATGCACGGTGATCTCCTGGAAGTAGGACAGCCATCAGTTATTTGGGTAATTCAACTCAAAACTGTCTTCATTGAACTGTTCTTCAAAAGTACCTGAAAATGTTTGCCCCTTGTACGCGAATTAAGATCAGTGGCAAG